ACTGAACCTTAAATTCTCTGAACATTTCCTGGAAGTCTTGAGTGCTATCAGGCAGCAATTGTGATCTTACTTGAGGATGCAATTGCTGAAGGCTTTCTATGGGAAGACAGACAGTCCTGGGATCAAGCCATAGGTTCACTACAGGCTAATGCTGTAATATCGTGAAAGGAAAACGTCCCAGTGTTCTTTCTGGAATGAAGCTTATAATGCCTGCAGAGATTTGAATAACAAGTGAGTAGAACTTTAATAGAACCTGGTGTAAATTAAGTGTTTGTTATATTTTATCACTAGTGCAGCTGTTTCCACAGCTCAGTTCTGTGGCAATCATCTGAGCCAAACTAAGAAGATGATAAATTTGTCCTTACTCTCTGTGGCCTCTACTTTAATTTTTCCAATAACCCCTGCCACTCTCTACTCTGCTGCTTACTTTTGAAAGGCATTTCCATTGTTCATCCATGCAAACCTGGCCCCACAAATGTACCATTCTCATCTATTCCATCTCAGTAGCAATGTGGTTCATAAGCCTGTCTCTCTCTAAGGGATATTTCCTTTAAACTTAAACTTTACTTGGAACATTAAAATTGTTTTCTTTTGCTGAAAGAATTTTGTATAACAGCATCTTCCTGGTGAAGATGGTATTTGGGGCTGGGATATGGAAAACTCAAGACTGCAATGGAAATTACACTACACAGGTGTGGTTTTGCATGTCTCCTTGAGGGAAAAAAACTGACTCAGATAGTCTGAAGAATTGAAAGAAGTAGAAAGAATGCTCCATTATTAATTTCCTATAATCAGTTAAAATTCTGATTTGGATCCTAGATTTGAGAATCTGTGTAGAAAGCCTCAGCCTTGAGGCCAAAGTAACAAGACTCTGTCACTAACATGTTTCCAGGAGACTAAATGGGAATGTTCATGCATATTCTGACTTTGCTTCCAAATGGCTTGTGAAACCAGATGGCCACTTCAATGCAGTCACTGGAATTTTCTATTTTGACATGACTTTTCACCAACTGGACTATGTTGGCTCATAGCTCCACCCTTCCTTTCATTCAGACATAGCCCAGGGATCCAGGCTGCTTTTGAATTCAATTGACAAAGTAATGACAGGGCCTCTGATCCTCTGAAATCTTGCTTCTCTAAGTAGCATTTTCACCTATCTGGGGTTTTTATGTGTTGTGAGGTAGATATACCCCTTCTGTATGCTGCGGATAGACAACTGCCTCAGAACCACCCACCAAGGAGTCTGTTCTTTATTTACATACTGATCTATAATGTTGCTTTTATCCATTGTAAATTCTTTACTGTAAGCCTATCTGTGCTTATGCTATCTTTCCCTCCACTGCTTTACTGGTTTGCTTTTTTAAAAAATATTTATTTATTTTTCTGTGCATTAATGTTTTGCCTGCATGTGTGTCCTGAAACTGGAGTTATAGACAGTTGTGAGCTGCCATATCATTCCTGGGGATTGAACCCAGGACCTATGGAAGAGCAGCCAGTGCTCTTAACACTCAAACCATCTCTCCAGCCCCTGATTTACTTTTGTATTTATCTTTGTTTGTTTCTTATAGTAACTATAGTTGTAATGTTCATTTATACACTACACTTTCTTCTTTAAAAATATAGATTTTTATATTGATATATGTTAGGAAATAAATCTCTTCTAGGTTATTTTAGGGATACTAAAATATTAGAATTTGTTTTACATTTTTCTTTTGGAATTTTTGATTGTAGTTCTTTGAAATTTGGGGGGCCCACTGTTATGAAGGTCAAGCCTCGCTGCTGAACTATGCATGCTACAAGCATTTTGTTGAAGCTACCACAGTGATTTTAACTGGGTGTGACAGCTGTTTTATCAAATAATTGATATTACATATGAATTAATTGCCTGCTACATTCTAGACCATAGCTAGTGACAAACATAGAAATACTAATTATAAGCATAGAAAAGCAGGACTTAAAGAAGTGAAGAAATCATCCAAGCAGAATTATGAAGGTTCATTAGATTTCAGACACCAGAAAAAAAATTTTGCCTCAGGAGAACAAACTTGGAGTCAAAATACTTGAACAAACTTGGAGTCAAAATACTTGGGGTTCATAAACCCTCTTCTCTCTGTCTTACTTCTGTGGCTGTAAGAATATTTTCTTCAACCATTCCATCTGTAGAGTAGAAATTATAACAGCATGTACCTAGGCCATCTATTTACAATGATTGAATGGGTTAGTATGCACACATGATTAGAATCATATATAAGGAAAACACTTAGTAAATGTTGACTGTAACTATTATTGTTTACAGAGACTGGGATCAGACTGGCTGCATACCAAAATCTAAATTGTTTTCCTCCACCACATTTGCAGCAAAACATGGAAGATGTAAAAGGAAAACATGTAATGGAAGACATTCCCTGAGTCTTTAACAAATATCTCTGTCATCATATGTCACAATCATTTCTTATTCTTTCAACTTCCCCAGAAATAGCTGCCCCAAGCTGATACACAGTATGAAGCTCAAAAACCAGAGCAGTGTGTCTGAGTTCCTCCTTCTGGGGCTCCCTATCAGACCAGAGCAGCAGAATGTCTTCTTTACGCTGTTCCTGGTCATGTACCTGACCACGGTGCTGGGGAACTTGCTCATCATCCTGCTCATCAGACTGGATTCTCGCCTCCACACCCCCATGTACTTCTTCCTCAGCCACTTGGCCTTCACAGACATTTCCTTTTCATCTGTCACTGTCCCAAAGATGTTAACAAAAGTGCAGAGCCAGCACATAGCCATCACCTATGAGGGGTGTGTTTCACAGACATACTTTTTCATATTCTTTGCTGACTTGGACAGTTTCCTTATCACTTCAATGGCCTATGACAGGTATGTGGCCATCTGTCACCCTCTGCATTACACCATCATCATGAGTCAGAGCCTTTGTGCCATTCTGGTAGGTATGTCCTGGGTCATAGCTTCTGCTTGTGCTCTTTTGCACACTCTCCTCCTAGTCCAGCTTTCCTTCTGTGCTGACCATACTGTCCCCCATTTCTTCTGTGACCTGGGTGCCCTGCTCAAGTTGTCCTGCTCTGACATATCCCTCAACCAATTGGTAATCTTCACAGCAGGATTGGCAGCCATTATGCTTCCATTTCTATACATCCTCATTTCTTATGGCCGTATTGGATTCACCATCCTCCAGGTTCCCTCAACCAAGGGCATCTGCAAAGCCTTGTCTACTTGTGGGTCCCACCTCTCAATGGTGGCTCTCTATTATGGGGCAATTATTGGTCTCTATTTTCTGCCACCATCCAACAGTAGCAATGACAATAACATAATTGCTTCAGTGATGTACACAGTGGTCACTCCCATGCTGAACCCTTTCATTTATAGCTTGAGAAATAAAGACATGAAAGGGGCTTTAAGAAAACTCTTGAACAGGAAGACAGTATTTTCCAACTGATAATTTTCTTTTTTGCATCTATATGATCTTGTTTCCTCAATAATAGAAATACAAATTATTAAAACTATATCTCACTAGTCTCTCATTTACTGCCTTCCCTCAAAATGCTTTGCTGGCATTATTCCTGTACCCATGAGAAGGAATGCTAAAACAGAATATTCTATGATTTTGTTATATTCATTTTATCAGATATTGGGGCTGGTATCAGTAAATGGAAGGTGTTGGTATTATCCCTTACTCCAATTTTAAGTTTATTATAAAATGTGCCTGGGTTTTCTACTATTACTTAAAAATTTTCCAATTTTATGAAATTTGGCACCAGATGCCTAATAACTTTGAAATATTCTACAACTTTCCAAGAGAATATAAGAATTTTAACTCCAATTACACAGGAATTAGTGCACAGCTTTCTTGTTCCTCTGGAATATAGTCACACTTGCATTCTCACACACACATGTGTAGATATGTAGTGACAAATGACATCTCAGTTTTCTTGGGTTTTGTCAAATAGTTTAATATGCAATAGTACCATCAAATTTTATCCAGACAACAACTATTAGTAGTTGTTTGGGAAAGCTCAGTTCAGAGAGGTGATAAACAACCTATGACCATACAGTTAGTAAAGGGAAAGCTAGAACCTTGATATTCCAAAGCAGTTCTTTGAGGCAAGACCTATAAAAGTTATATGGAATTCTACACAAATCCAAGAAGTAATAATTAACATAATCTTGAGGGAAAAAAACATGAAATCTTTCTCAAGATGTTTATTTCACTTGAGTTATAAATAGGAATTATCCAGATACATTAATGTCCATCTTACATTGCTGATCAGATGGGAGCATTGTAAGTCAGGATTGAAATATATATTAACACAACTCAAGATTGTAAGACTTAAATTGAAGATATTTATAGTAAATGCCAGGGGATCCATTTTCTGACTCTTGACCATCTCAATTTAATGGGTGTGTAAAAATACTGAAGTATTGAGCAGGGTGGTGGTAGTGCACACTTTTAATTCAAGCACTCAGAAGGCAAGTCTGGCATATCTCTGCTGAGTTTGAGGCCAGCCTGGTCTACATTGTGAGTTCTAGGACAGCTAGGGCTACACAGAGGAAGCTTGGCTCATAAACACCTGTAACTTCAGTTCAAAAGAATCTAACACCCTCTTTTGGCCTCTGTAAATACACACACTCAAGCAAACATATATACACATAAATAAATATTTTAGAAATAAAAACATCACTTCTCAGGAAGCAGCATTCTCTTTGTTCTAGGCTATAACACTGAGGCACCCTTGTGTTAGCAGCAGGTACCTCCTAGGACAGCTTTGTAGATCATGAATTTTGAGTAGAAGGCCAGCAATCTCTGGTGAGAAGTTTAGTAAACATAGGCAAAGGGACTTTATTTTGTTAATGACTCAAGAATTTGAAACTAAAAGCATAATCAGATAAAATTTTCCATTCGCTACACTTGAAAATTCTGTTAATGTCAACTGTTCCTTAAAAGGAGAAACATTTTTACTTTCATATTCTGGGGGGGGGGGCTTGGTCTTCCAATAGGAGCTGTGATCAACTGTGCTGACAATACAGGAGCCAAAAATTTGTATATCGTCTCTGTGAAGGGAATCAAGGGACGACTGAACAGACTTCCTGCTGCTGGTGTGGGCGACATGGTGATGGCCACAGTTAAGAAAGGCAAACCAGAACTAAGAAAAAAGGTCCATCCAGCGGTGGTAATTCGACAACAAAAGTCATATCGAAGAAAAGATGGGATGTTTCTTTATTTTGAAGACAATGCAGGAGTCATAGTAAACAATAAAGGTGAGATGAAAGGTTCTGCTATCACAGGTCCAGTCGCAAAGGAATGTGGAGACTTGTGGCCCAGGATTGCATCCAATGCAGGCAGCATTGCATGATTCTCTGGTGTATTTGTAAAATATTCATTAAAAAGTCTTTGCTCAGGTCGCTTGGCTCGGCCTGGGAGGAGGGGACTGGACCTGCCTGGACTGAGTCTACCAGTCTACCAGGACCTTGATCTCAGTCCTCTGGGGAGCTTTGCCCTGGAGGAGGTGGGAATGCTGGGTGTGCTGGGGGAAAGGGGAGGGGGCAGGAGGGGGGAGAACAAGGGAATCCGTGGCTGATATGTAGAACTGAATTGTATTGTAAAATAAAATTTAAAAAAAGAAAACTATCAAAAAAAAGTCTTTGCTCAAAAAAAAATGTAGAGAATCTTCTTTTTGCAATGGAATAAGAGACTATAGAGTGCAGCCCTAAATGGACATTTATAATCCACCCCTTCTCCTAAGGCTAAGGAATTATCACGGAAGAGAGCAGAAAAATTGTGAGTTGGTGGTAGTGGATGACTTCTATAAAACAGGCTATTTCAGATGTGAAATCTGTCAAAATCCCAGCAGAGAGGGGGAAGGGGAAGCAACTGGCAACTGATGGCTGCCAGGAGATGAAGAGTTGATTTTCTTTAAGGGTGTGGTCCCTGATCTATTGAAGATATTCTAGTGCATCAGTTCTCACCCTTTCGGCTGCAATACTTTTGGGGGAGTTGAATGAACCATTCATAGGGATCGCCTAAGATCATCTGTATATCAGATATTTATATTACAATTCATAACAGCAGCAAAATTACAGTTACGAAGTAGCAACAGAAATCATTTTAAGGTTAGAGTCACTACAACATGAGGAACTGTATTAGGGGTCACAGCAGCAGTAAGGTTGAGAACCACTAATCTAGTAAATAGCCACACCAATATAGGAATAGAGTCAGCAATAATTAGATCAGATGAATTCTTAAAATGAGGACACAAAATCTGATGGGCATGAAATGAGGAGTGGATCTGAAAGGAGGTGGGTAAGGGGGTGAATACAATTAAAATACAATGTATGAAATCCTCAAAGAATTAATAAACATACATATTTTTAATGTTATAGAATAAGGCTACAGCAAAACATATTTCTAATAGTGCCACTCCCTTTGGGGGCCTTTTTCTTTCAAACCACCACAATGAACAACTCTTTTCTGAATGAAAAATGGTTCAAGACAAAAATTAAGAAAGAAATTAAAGACTTTCTAAAATTGAATGAAAATGAATATACAGTATATCAAAACTAATGGGTCACAATGAAGGCTGTTCTAAGAGGAAAGTTCATAGCATTAAGTACCTACATGAAAAAAACTGGAGTGATCTTATACTAGCAACTTAGCAGCATACCTGAAAGCTCTAAAATAAAAACAAGAAAATACACCCCAAATGAGCAGATGACAAGAAATAATCAAACTTGGGGCTGAAAAAAATAAAATATAAACAAAAAGAATACAAAAAATCAATGAAACAAAGAGTTGTTTCTTTGAGAAAATTAGCAATATAGATAAACCTTTATCTAAATTAGCTAAAAATCAGAGAGAGCATATCCAAATTAATGGAGAGGGAATCTGAGGGAGAAGGACTGGGAGTAACTGGAGGAGTGAAGGGAGGTCCACTCTGGTGGGGATGTATGTATGAAAGAATGATCTATTTTCAATTAAAAAATAAAAACAGAAACAAAAAAATCAAAAATAAAAAGACACTGAGGAAATCCAGAGAATAATAAGGACATAATTTTAAAAAACCTATATTCCACCAAATTGGAAAATCTAAAAAAAAAAATGGATATCTTTCTCAATAGGCATAACTTATGTGGGAGGCCAACTCCCACCTTTTAAAGGGTTCCTATGAGGAGAAGAGAGGGATAAGCAATTTTTAGATAGAAAGATAGCAGAGAGGAGACAGACAGAAACACAGGAAAGCTTTGGGAGGACCTCCATTGAAATCCAACAATCTGCCTCCTCAAAAAGCCTTTTTATAGCAATGACAAGGGCAGGGCAAAAGACCTCCCCCTTGCTTAGATCAAAGCATACTTTGCACAGTCTTTGCACAGTCAAGTGTAGACCCTTCCAAATACCTGGTAACCATACCCATCATCAAATCATCCCCTTATGCAGCCCTGCTGGATAAAGCAAGCTCAGATTCTCAGACCCAGAGTAAGTTTTCACTAGGAAACTTCTGTGGGTCTCTATATCACCCCCTTCTTAATATAATAAAGGGCCCCTCCAATAGACTGTGCCTGCCTTAGGTCATTCTTCTTCCCTAGTCAACCTTACCCGTCCTTGAGATACACTTTCCATCAAGTGTACTCTGTCGTAGGTTGGCAGCTAGCAAGAAGAACGTTATTCATCCCCGACTACCAGCCTCTGGCAGGGGAATGTACAGAGCTTAACTCAGCTCTGAATCAGGTCCTTACTAAGAGCTTGCAAATAGTTGGAACAACCACAACAATCCTTAGGACTGCCACACCCCCCAGTAAAGGAGTAGAGGATGACCAAAATAGAATGTCCTTTTTCAGTGAGTCTAAAATGTCTGTAACAGCCTTAGCTGTGCCAAGCCTTTTCTTAAATCAATAAACTGTTGATGCAAATGCATCAAATCAGTAAACTCTGGATGCAACCGCATCAAACTTAAAGACTCCCTTTGCTTCACCAAACCATGGTTCATTAATATCAACAGGTTAACATAATTCTAGTATGAATATTACTATACGTATTTACAACTAGCATGAATATTACTATACATATTTACAATTCTTACAAACTTACATTCAAAAGCAAACTCTATAGGACAAACTTTAGCAAACATATAAAAGAGATTTCTTAACAGAACTATTTACTTTTCCTTTTAACAAGGCAGAGGGTACATGAATTGTGAGTCACCACAGTTAAAATTACAGGTGAACTCGAAACTTTCATTTCTGAAGTTTGTAAAACTTCAAAAAAGTCAGTTCTAATTATGATCTTAAAGTTCTCTTGAAAGTTTGAAACCAGAGCCTAATTCGTCAGCAGCTCTAGAGTCTTTGTATCCGGTTCCCTTGACCCTGAGATTCAGTGAGTGCCACTGCCAGGGGACTGTAACACTTGGGATGATGCTGCTCCCCTTAAGCCACTTTCCCTGCCAGGCCTTCCCAGCCATTCCAGAACCACTGGAAGTGCTCCCAGTGGTGGATTTTTGTTGGCTGGGAGCAGTCCCTTCACCCAAATTCAATGCAGTTCCCCTGAATGCAAGATTCAAACATTGCTGAAACTTCACTCCCAGCTCCAGAAGCATTTTATGACAGTCTTTCCTGAGGAACCTTACCTGAGAACAAAGGTACTTGCCATAGTAACTGAGCTGCTACAGACCTCCTTTCAGAAAGCTTTCTGCATAGCCAGCAAACAGAAACTGTGACTTTGGCTGCTGTCTCCATTCAGCTTTTTTACTGTCCTAGTCTGTCTGCACCTCCAATTTCCAGGCCTGCCTGCCTAGAGAACTCAGTGTCCTAAGACCCTGAGGGCTCTCTTGTACCTCATGCTGCATGGCTGAATGCTGCCCCACTGCTATGAGCTACAGTTTTCAAACAGCTCTTCTGAGTCCAGGAGGAAACCAGCAGTGGCTAGTTGCAGCTGCTGCACCCCTGGCTCCATTTATATTACCCTGGGTGTCTGACTGTTTAATTATGGGGAACATTTGAAAGCCTTGTTTCTCTCCCCCTCTGCTAGCTGACTCCTGAATACTGGCTTGAAGAGGAGACACAGCATTAGCATCAAGGGTTTGCCATGTTCCAGGAGGTTTTTGTGCCAGGGCAATTATGGGTGACCTTTCCATTCTGATAGACAACCCCACAGGTGAGTCTAATTCTGCCCCTACAGAAGGAAAAGAGACCTGGGAAGGAGAGACCTGAAGAGCTTCCAGGTTTTGAGAAAAAGAAATTACTAAGTTTTTCAAGACTTTCAGTTCCGCTCTTGTCTCATTCCAAGACTTCTGTTCCTTAAACTCAGTTTCATGGCCAAGAGGGAACTGTCCGTGATTGAACAATGTTGTAAAAATGTTCTCTTATAGCAGCAGTTCCAGTGAAGTGGAAGATTTTGTTCCAATCATATCTGCCTCAAGGAAAATTCCCCCTGCTAGTCAGGGCTTAGATCTAATCTGTCCTGAATTAATGCCCACAGGCCAAAAGCTTCCATGGGAATATTTCCCAGCTCATAATCCTCATAATATTTTTGTATTTTGACTCCAATTCTTCCCCAGGAGTCTGTGTCCAGAGTCCCATAGTTGGAGAAACAAGAACACAGTTCCTCTATGAACTTCAAGAACCTCTGTACTTGTTATGGTTCTACCTTAACTCCCTAGTTTTCAAACTTTTTACAAGTGAATATATAAACATCTGTTTACTCTTTCCCTGCCCCATAGCAGCATTTCTTTCTCAGACTGCTAAGTCTGCAGTGGCTGTTTGTTCCTGAATGCTGTTTTTTGTGCATCAGGCCTGACACTAGGGAAATTCTCTTCTTACCCTAAATTCCTTCTTACACAATATTCCTATACCTAAACCTTATATTTTTTTTACCTAATTTGATAGATAGAAATGAACAGAGAGAGAGAAAGAAATTTAGATAGAGAGAGATTCTTGCTGCTGCCTAATTTTTCTATATACAGTTTTTGCTCCCAAAGAATAAAATACCACCACCTTAACCTTAAAACAAAACCAGACATGTTCAATTGCTTCCCACAGTGTTTTCCTACTCTCACTTACTTCCTCTGCACACAAGTCCCTGTTTGAGCACCATCTGTGGGAGGCCAGCTCCCACCTTTTAAAGGGTTCCTATGAGGAGGAAAGAGGGATAAGAAACTTTTAGATAGAAATATAGCAGAGAGGAGACCAACAGAAACACAGGATAGCTTCAAGAGGACCTGGATCAAAATCCAATGGTGCCTTCTGCCTCTTCAAAGGGGCTTTTCCTAACAATGCCAAGGGGCAGGGCAAAACATCTCCTCCTTTCTAGATCAATTCATACCATACAGCCAAGTATAAACCCTTCCAAATACCTGGTAACCATGCCCATGGACAAATTATCCCCTTATGCAGCCCTGTTGGGTAAAG